AACCGCTCTCCCAGGAGGGGCTTTCTCCACCACGTGCCCTGCTTGGTCTCCGGCCCTGGGCTTCACTCCAGCTTTTCCTGGGGGGAGGTGCTTCCCCACACCTGGGTGCATGAGCTGGGTGGGGTGCAGAGTAGGGTGTCTTACCGGCAGGAGGCGGCCTGTCAATGTAGGCGAACTAGGCGGTCGCCTTGGGTGCCAAGATAAAGGGCAGTTGAGAGCTTTGCAGGCGGGGGTGCCGATCATGGTTTTACCTAGGGTGCCAGTTGCTGGCAGCTCGGCTAGGGCGGCTCCTGCTTAGCGGGGGGAGAGGGCAGGAGCAGGGTTTGGGTGGATGTCTGGCTGGGGTGGGGCAGGGCAAGGTATGGGTGGATGTCTGGCCAGGGGAGACAGGGCAGGGTATGGCAGGATATTTGGCTGGTGGGAGGGGCCAGGAACAGAGTGGGGTAGATGTCTGGCCAGAGGGGAGGGGACAGGAGCAGGCTGGGGGCGGGGGTGCAGGGTCTGGGCGGCACTTACTCACCCCTCCCCAGTGTCTGTAACAGGGTTTATTTATTACAACAGTCTCTCCCACGTGGCAGTCAGACGCTGCTCCACACATGGAATAAGTTAGTGACCCCTAGGCTTTCTCCACTCCCCTGCTCCCATGTGCCACTGAAAATCATTTTGCATGCCATTTATTGCGTGCGTGCCGGATGTTGCCGACTCCTGTGCTACAGAGACTTAGGACCAGCTTTCTGACTGAATCTTATGTAGTGGGAAGTATGAGCGGGCATCTTACGGCCCATGAAGTGACCAGGCTTATATAGAACTGCAGCCTGTGCACTCTGGAGAGAAAAGGGACTTCACTGTTCTATTGCCTGTGGATACGTGATGTCTCAGGGTATGTCTACACTTGCACCCTCTTTCAAGAGAGGGATGCAAATGGAGACATTGGAAATTGCAAATGATGCCGGGATTTAGATATCCTATGCTTCATTTGCATATTTGCCTTATGAATATCCTGTGCTTCATTTGCATATTTGCCTTATGGCACTATTTAGAAATAACAGACACTGTTAAGACGCAGTTATTTCGAGAGAAAACCCTTCTCTCGAAATAACTGGTAAACCTCATTGCATGAGGAATAAGGATTATTTTGAGAGAAGGGTTTTCTCTCAAAAAACCGCGTCTTAACAGCATCTGTTATTTCGAAATAGCATTATTTTGAAATAGTGCCATAATGTGAATATGCAAATGAAGCACGGGTTATTTAAATCCCGGCTTCATTTTCAATTTCAAATGTCTTTATTTGCATCCCTCTCTCGAAAGAGGGTGCAAGTGTAGACATACCCTCAGAGAGTTAAGAGGCAAGGCCTAGCCAGTGGAGATGGATCAGTATGCAGAAGGGAGCCAGCTTCATCCCAATATAGGAGTATTGTGGCAGGCAGGCCTTGAGATTTCCCAATATACCTCATGGCATGTGTGGCTCCTGACCGCTCAGAGCAAGATTGTACCTTAAGGGGTTGATCAGTATAAAGGCTCTGTGTAGGCTTGTAGCACTTGGTGTCTTGAAGCAGAACCGCCTGCATCTCTACTAGAAAGACCTATACAAGGGATGGCAGAAAGAATAGATTCACTATTATAAATAAGTATTGGCTACAATAAGCAAGTACATGGATTATTTCCTAACGTTATGTGTTTTGGGGAAGTTCTTTTTAAAGCCTTTTTTAAAGTGAAATTAGAAAATTGTTTAATTTTTTTTTTAAAAAAACAAGACTAATTCTGCTGCTTTTCTTTAGAATAATATCTAACCAGTCTACTTTTGAAAATCACTGGGATTACTCACTGAGTAATGTGCTGCTAAGTAAGAGGAAACGTGCCATGTGACATTAAGAAAGTGTCCAAAAAAGATAGTGAGAGATTTAGAGAGAGAGGTTTTAGAAGTACAATGCAAAACTCTCCTCCATCTTCACTACAAAATCACAATAGAGCAGTATCGCCTGCAAAACTTAAAGCTTCTGTTTATCAGTTTGTCCTGTTCTTATCATCCATATTCTGTTATCTACACGATACATGGAATTTATCCGCTTTTCCTCACAGTCGGGACATGTTGTAAAAACCATCCAGCACTGTTCAGAGATGCATGCCAGAACTTGTGTCTAGTAGGGGCCATCAGTCAGACATTGTCAGGAAAAGAGCAGGAGCAGCTGTGTTTCTTTAGAACAGTTTTGCAAGTTCAGCTGTGGTTGACAGCAGTAAAACCAAGAAAAATATTTAAAAAAAATGTTAGCCCATTGCTCTGCAAATAAGCACAGCAGAAAGGAAGCTCTGGAAGTGATTGCATTTGTTTGCATACTTCTTGCACCCTTAGTAACGGTTATCTAGTGAGGGAAGGATGTTTAGTTTCCTTTAAACTAAAATGTACTTCTTACAAGTGCCAGCTTAGACAAATTTTCTTATTTGGGTTTTTTGTCGTTGGTTTGATTTGTTGATTTTTTTAAAACAAAAAAGT